CCCCAAAACCCCAAAACCCCAAAACCCCAATGTTATCAAATTAGAACTTTTTATGAATTGCATAATAATTGAATATTCAAATCGTTGAATCGCTAAATAATAAATGAGTTACTTATTAAAAACAATTAAAAGATCTTTTATCAAAATGGTAGACACAAAGCCAGTAGTATTCTTCGTCCTCGGGTAACAATAGTCTTATATTAGCCATCAATACTTAACTCTTACTTAGTGGTCCAGGTTCAGGTAAAGGAACTCAATGTGCTAAAATGGTTGACCAATACGGATTCGCTCACTTGTCAGCTGGTGATCTTCTTAGAGAAGAGGTAATCTTACTATTCCATTTCATATCTTTAATTGATTAAAAATAGAGAGATAGTGGCAGTGAAACAGCTCAATTAATTAACCAATACATCGTTGAGGGAAAGATCGTCCCAGTAGAGATCACTTGCTAACTACTTAAGAAAGGTATGGAAAAGAAGGGATGGGCTGAGAAGCGCTTCCTCATTGACGGCTTCCCACGTAATCAAGATAACTTTGATGGATGGGACAGAGTTATGGGCGACTTGGTAGAAGTACCTTTTGTTTTGTTCTTCGATGCTGACGAGGAGACTATGATCAACAGAATCATGGAGAGAAGCAAGACCTCAGGCAGAAATGATGATAACATCGAGTCACTAAAGAAGAGATTTGATACATTCAAGAAGGAGACTATGCCAATTGTAGATTTGTTTGACTCTAATGGCAAGACTCAAAAGATCAATGCACTTAGAACTATAGATGAAGTCTTCGAAGATGTCAAGAAGGCATTCGAGCCATATCTCTGAGTTGAAGGTTGATAGTTTGAGTGATGGATTACGATATAAACTTATTTATTTACCACAAATTTAACTTAAAATTATCTCAAAGCACTTTTCAATATTATCTTAATTAATTAATCTTATATTGAAGTCTCATATATATTTACAAAATCACAGACTGCGTACTTATTATTGCTATGAATATAGAAAAAGAAACCAATTTCGGTCACTGAGATTTACTCATTACTCCTTTACATTATCTCTGCCAGTACTCATTTTTGTCTCCTTGACAGAGATGCCCCCATTCTCAGAATCTTAGGCCACACTTGATTTTATCATTCCCAAGCTTTTACTTATTGATTTATCTTCTTATTACTGACTTTAATTAGCCAGATCAGGGAATAAATGTGCTCCGTTTTTTCTTCGCTCAAATATTTCAATCAGTAAATCGATACCTTCCCAGATTCCTTCACCAGTCTAAGCTGAGCATTTATTCACAGCTATTTCTCTTTCCTTTCTAGCCTTTTCTACATCTAGTCTGCCATTAAGCTCCTCTACACTACGACTCTTTTCAGCCATATCACTTTTATTGTAGAGGATCAGAAAAGGAATCAGAGTGAGGCTTTCATCACGAAGTAGTCTGTTAAATTCATCCCTGGCAAAAAGCAATTTCTCTTCGTCGGTGCTATCAATCACAAACACAATCCCATCTATTTTATCAAAGTAATGCTTCCAAAGCTTTGTTGCTTAGCCTCCTACATCCCATAAAGTCATCATGTATCTCTTGTGAGTCAATGACTCAATATTCAGGCCTATTGTAGGCACTGTCTGCTTGAACTGATTGTCTCTCATTTAGAATAAAATTGAAGTTTTACCTGCATTATCTAACCCAAGAAGCAAAATTCTTTTTTCAAACATTTCATCATAATTTGTTGCTCCTGCCCCAGCTTTGACTTTCTTTAAAAAACTCATGTCACAACCCATTTCGACTATTTATTCTTTTGAAATTAACTATTGTAAAGGATAATGCTGCCCTTTTGATTTTATAATTATAATAAATTTATATATTAGGATTATAAGTTTTAGAAATGAGAGCAAATTTTAATTTGAATAGTCAGGGTTCTACTCGAAAAACACCAGGAATAGCAGCCGAAAAATCTAGCCTCTATAGATAGATAGCCAGTCGAGAAGTCTAGAAAAGATCTCCAAGGATTTGTAAGAATCCCCTTATCATAGATTATTAATTGAATCATTTTAGAATCCCAGGCAGTTATACCCTTGACATAACTAAACATTGCAACTGGATCAACTAATAATACTGATAATACTTTTTCAGAAGTTTAAAGCTTATTGAGAGGTCTCTTTGCAAGCACAAACAATGACCAGAGAGATGTTCATCTTAATAACTCTATTTTAGATATTTCTGATTACAGAGTAAGTCTATATCAATATTTCTTAATCAACAAATTAGACAGAAATTCAATCGGAATTAATAAATCCTGTTCAGGAGTATCAACAATTAGATCAGCATACTGTAATAAGATAACCGATAAGATAGTTAGGAAGAGATGCTTCTAGATTATCAATCAACACTATCTCGAGGAATAATCAAGATAACAACAGATAATACTTTACTTAATAACCTTAAATACTAAGGAACTCTACATAAGGAATAGACTTCTAAAATTATTAATAGTAGATTGACGATAAGGATGCAACAATATAGAGATTATAAGATACGAATGAAGAATTAAACAATCAGCTTAAGTTATTATCGAATCGCTTGGATGATCTCATGTTTAAAGTTAAGTAAAAGTAGCTTTAAGATGACAAGGATCTGCAAAAACTTGCTTAATGCGGCCATGATGCTATTTTATAAAGACTCTAAAAGCAAGTCAAAGATAGGGATGATGATATTAAAAAAATAAAGGATCGTATGGATGGATAAATTAGGCTAAAGGAAAGAGAGATAACTAATACTTAAGATAAGATCTAGCAGTCGAAAAAAGAACTAGTTGCTATCTAAAAGAAGTCATCAATGACAGACTCAGAAAGGATTGTGGATTTAGAGTAAAAAATAATAGGAACTGAGTTAAAGATCAAAGATTTACAGAAGGAAATAAAGAACTTAAAAAAGATTCAGCATGACTAAGGTAATGAGTTACTCGGCTTAGATAACAAAGAAGAATATCCTGAGAAGATAAGATCATTGATGGAAGAAGTGAGATGGGCTAAGGACAAGTAAATTGAACTCTAAGACAAAATTGCGGCAGAGGAGAAATAGGTTAAAAGATAGAAGGAACATCTGCTAAACCTTGAAGATTCGAAGAATGAGTTAGACTAAAAATACAGACGATAAGTCATGAAATTGGTAAGTAATTTTTAGTTAATATCCAAATAGGGAGTAACATCCGACAGGATAGAATAGCATGCTTTTGATTACAGTGATATTGACTAAGTTTAACTACTTAATAAGATCATTTAACTTGAAGAAGTTTTATAGGCAAGAGAGAAGGTAACCATTTCTCATTGTTATTATATATTTAGGAAAACAAACTATTCACAATGAAAATGAAGGAGCTAGCATAAAATAAAGATAGATAATTACAGTAATAAGCGTCACTTCCTATGATAATGAGGAATTCACCACGAAGATAGGTTAAGTCAGCAACTAGAAATAAAAAATCATCTATCTCCTCAAGGACCGTCATAAATCATTAAGGGCCATTCACATTATCGAATAATAATTTAGATCAATCTATCGATGTATTGAAAAAAAAGAAAAACATCAACGAATCTTACTCATTCCTTCTTGGAAAGCTAGACAGATCTAGGTCTAAATTAAAGCCTGAAAAATCGTTATAAATGCACCAACCAAATAAGAAGGGGTAAGGAGACTTCTCATTAGATTATGGAAGCGTCTAAAATATGAAAAGCAATTCAATCCTATTGCCATAAATGAATATCTATGGTAATAATAGTCGAAACTAGAAGTAACAGTTTAAAACAATTGATTCCACGCCTAAGATAAGAATAACTCAGCCAATAACTTCTATTCAAGGAAATCACAATCCTATCTAGCCATATTAGACAGTAAGGTAAAGTAAGAATAGCAGCATCAGAGGAGGTAGTGAGATGAGAAAGAGTCATAAGAGGGTTGAATTTATGGATGATACAGAAACCAGTAATCATCACAACAGGCTAGAAAATTCTTTTGATATAAAACTTGATACAACAATGCAGCCATAACCTAATCTCAATTTCGGAACGAATAGAAGCTTAAGAAGAAAAAGAGGATAAGATGAACTTGAAAATGGGAACATCTAGCTTCCAGAATTCAAGATTAATCTTAACAATAACACTGATGATATTTTATAGTAACTCAAGAATAACCTCAATAAAATAGTATGAATTTATTAATTTAAACATATGAACCTTCAGTATAAATAGGAAAATAGCAAATCTAATTTTATTTTTTTAAACAGGCTAAATCTTTACACTAAATATTAAACTTAGGGGTTTTGGGGTTTTGGGGTTTTGGGG